GTGGCCCATTGGTTTGCCAAAATGAAGAGGAGCCATTTATACTCCATGGCATTGTCAGTTGGGGTGTTGGCTGTGCCAGGCCAAAGAGACCGGGTGTTTATGCAAGAGTGAGCCACTTCTTAGACTGGATCATGTTCAGAATGAAAGGTAAGCACCTTCATATTCCTCCCCAATCTACTGCATTGGAACTAAATGTGACCTATCACTAAGCTCTGTTTTCTTAGGATATCTGAGCTCCACTGTCTGGATATCTTCATAGAATTTTGCTACACTCCAGCCAAAGTAAATATGGCAAAGGGAGCTTGGTGTACACGAAGGATTTTGGGGTACACCAGGTCCTTCTCTCTATCCCAACAGTACTCCTGGTGGGAACATAGAATGAGACCTTCTTGGTAGTTGCTCCCAGGCTCTGGTGCTCCCTTCCTAGAGAGCTCAGTGTGGAGCCCTCCTTGCTCTCTTGTAGGCTGACAAAGATCTTTCTGCTTCAGCAGGCCTTTGAGGATTGATGGCTCAGAGAGAAAGAGCCTTTTGTAGTGGACTTTACTCTCTACATTTGTTTTTTTTTCCCTTTTTCTTTTTAAAGGTCATGCTTTTAACTGCTTTTAATCCTGTCCATAGTTTAATTATGTTTTTAACTTTTGTATGATGTGGATTTGTGGGTTGTTTTTTTAGCTGCATGTGTATTAATTTCTTAAAGCTGTCTTAAGTCACAGGTTGAGAAAAGAGTGGGATGTAAATATAACACTTTGAGGAACTCAAACAAAGTAATTCCATGGTATACCTGTTTGTTGTTAGCTGCCCTTGAGTCAGTCTCGACTCATGGTGACCCTGTGGATGAGACATCTCCAAGACTCCTTGTCCTCAGCCTCTCCACTCAGGTCCTGCAGGCTTATGCCTGTGTCCTCCCTAATAGCATCTCTCCACCTAGCATGCAGTCTTTTCTAGCTTTTCCTACCATCATTGTCTTTTCTAATTATTCATCTTTCCTTATGATGTGGCCAACGTGTGCAAGCTTCAATCTGGTCATTTGGCTTGACTGCAGTCTGTGTTGTGATCTGTATTTGAACCAAAGTATGGGAACTCTTTGACTCTTTCAATTTTCTTATTGTCTAGGGTGAATTTTTGTATACCAAGAATTATGGTATAACAGTATTGACCCCAAATAGTTCTCTGTCAAAACATGCATGCAGAGCGAAATCATACATGGAAGAAGGAATGTGGTATAATTTTCTTACTTGATGCATGCTATATATAGCACTGATATATTTGCCTTCTGTGTATACAATATCTTTGAAAATGTACTCAGATCAAACATCTAATTTTCTTCCCTAGTAATTTCTTCCCTGCCAACTGGAAGGGAATTGTGTTAGCTTTATTTATCAATAGTAAAATGTATGCCTTACTTTCCCATCTCCTAAATAATATACACATGTATTGAAACATTAAAAGCCAGAGGATAGCTTTGGTTGCTTTAAATCAGGGGTAGGCAACCTAAGGCCCGGGGGCCGGATGCGGCCCCCCGAGGCCTTTGGACCAGACCCAGGCCGGTCCTGCTGCCGCCTCCACCTGCCATGATGATATTGATTGTTATTACTTGTTCTTGGAGTTTTCTTGGCAAAATCTCCACAG